ACGTTTATACCATATACAGTCAATATCGACTTTGATGTTTCGGATAGTTTTGAGGTGAGAATCCTGTCCCGAATCCCGAATCTTTTCTCCAAGATGGTCATGTCTGAGGCTGATAGTCAGGGTACCTCCTGGAATCTGGGAAAAATAGTTACGAAATACGACTCCCACCCCTCAAAACTTCCTCTTCTGGTACGATTCCACTCAAAGTTTATTCCTCTGATACGACCCCCTCCTTGTTCCGCATGCTCCGCCCTGCGTGCAGTCTTCCTAAATTTCCCAATCTTCCAGCATTTTTGCGGAAAATTTCTTCACGTCCTCAAAAAGTTCTGTTCGACGGGAACCCGACGTATATGACCCTCCCTCGCTTCCAGTGACCCAATACGACCCACCCCTAGGTGGGAATGCCCCAACGCCGGTTGTCTCGTGCTGACGAAAGGTTGGTAAAAGCTGTTTTCATTGGCTTGCACTGCATGTTTAGGCTATTCTGCTGCTGAACGAGTCGAATTGGGTGGATCCGTCCGAAAAGAATCCGGAAAATGTGGAAGCTTCTATTGTTGGGAGTCACTTTAACATATGTAAGGACATATTATTTTGTTGAATATATTACAGTCAGTAACTCAAACAGTGCTGATAGTATTAACTGTTCAAGCTCTTCCTACAATTATGTTGAGCTGAAGTTTGTATTTGATTGTGCTGAGACTGTCAGTAGCCATTTGCAGCTTTCTTGATGCCGTTCGAGGATTTCCTACCGGAGTTGGTCTCGACTACATATACGCTACGGCTAGAAGAACTCATTAGCTTTACGCCTGCGTTATCCTCCAGGAAGTGCAACAGCGCCGGTAGTGGCGGCGTTGTCGCGTGGGGCTTACACTAATCAGTACAGTACTCCTTCGCCTCATGGACGGCACTCAAAGAATACGGTAGGGGTTTTGATCTTTGCATGAATAGATGTTCTACAGCTTTGTTCGGATACTGTGACATGTCACAGTGGGCGCGTCTGGCGCGGCGCTAGCCCGTTTCCCACCAGTTGTTGAAGGGCGGCCAGCGGCATAACCTGGTGGAAAAGTGGTCGGCGCGCGCCACACTGTCTACAAAAGGAGCCCTCAAAAATGGATATGATCGCAAAGGGTTGCTCCTATTGGATCAATCTACGTAGTCCTCTTGTGGGAAGGGGGACGACGAATAAGAAATGTGAAAAACTGAAAAAGATGATCTCATCAATGTAATGTAATACGTTCCGTCAAATTTAATCAGCGCACATCCAATTGTGTAAAACTCACGGAGGCCATTTTTGAGAGCTGGAAGGTGGTCGTATTTTGCCACGTAGATAATTTTCTATTGTGCTTGCTTTCAACCCGCGCCCTCCTCCCTTCCCGCATCCGCTCACATTGGCGACGCATCGAAACTACCATTTCTGAATAGGGCAGGTGCCGGTAGAGAAGATTTTTGCAAAATACGATCCCTCCCAAGTTTCTTCTTCTGGTACGACCCTCTGACCTCTCAAGATCTAAGTTTTCCTAGTTCCCCACCACTGTTCCAGGTTTTTATCTCAGATTCTGCTTATTTCCCCCAGGAAACTGCTCATCAGCGGGGTGAGGGTTGGGAAGACTCTGACCTACTACAGGGGACCGGGCGTGTCGAAAAGCTGAGGCAAGTCAGCAAACATTTTCCTCAAGGCAACACGATCCTCCTCCCTGTGGACGATATACGAACCTCGTCCCCCTCGCTAAATACTCGGCATGACCCGCCTCATCTCTGATATCAGAAACTTCCCATCTCCCACGCCGCTAGACGACAAAGTTTAGGGAAACGTCGGGCAAAGGCCGGTAGGTTGTGGGGGGATGACAACGAGCAGAGAAATTGGGGAGGGGGGCGGGGGATCCGTATCAGCCGAAAATTTTCCGCTCGTGATGGCGTGCCCTCTGTATAATAGTTGTTCAGGAGGAATGGCATGAGATATGGCGTACGGAAAGCGTAATATGTGTTATTGAGTACACGTATCATCCTAACGTGTCCAGAATTGCCTCGGATCTACCGTTACATGTACTTCAAGAGTTTTTGCCGAAGCCAGTTGAACATCCTAAAGACGTGAGTTTGATGAACAACCCAGTGCTGAGTGAAATGCCCTGAAATGGCTGACATTTTTCCTTTTTTTCTTTAGCACGTGTTTTCATAGCACTTTTCAGCTTCCACCCGATAAAATGAATGTGAAGATGGAAATTGGTGGCTCAGAGGTGATGTTCACTGGATCGTTGATTAAATGCGTGATCGAATTGAAGAATAACTACTTTGGATTATATGATTCGGTCAGTGGATCAGTTGGTTTTTCTTTACAGTTTTGCTTTCAATAGAAGACTCTAACGTTCTTGCATGAAGCCGAAAAGGCCAGCCAATGCACTCATTATCGGTGAGAGGTATATTTATTTGAAATGGTGACCCTTCCGGGCTCATGGACTAGCCTTTCAAAATCATTTGATAGGAAAGTATGTGTGGTTACAGTCTTCTTCGCTTGCTTATGGGGTGGGGCGTATAGTGAGGTTGAGGTTTAGCTGGCGGCCACCTCGTACTCCTTCAGTTGTTCGTGAACAAAGATTTGATTGGAAGAACTGATACGAATGATACTACTAGTGCTGACTGTCAACGCTTGCTCGCCTATTCACAACCGTGGGCAGGACGGGTCCAGACACGGCCATTACCTCCCACCTAAAACGCCCCATCATCCGCAGCGAAAAAGACTGCAGCACAGTCATTATCACTAATAACAGTCAGGGAGTGTGAGCTGTTCGTGGGCTTGGCTCGGTCCAGACTGTTTGCTTCGATCGTTGCGGCTCCGGAGTGGTGGGACGGAGCAAAGGCTGGCGTCGCTCCAAAACCGCTTCGAGTTGGTGACACGCCCGGCTGAATTTCGTGATAAATGATATGATGAAAGCTTTCACCGGAAGTCGAACACTAATTCTACAGGCCGAGTCAAAAGTTATATTTACCAAACCTCTCGAGCATGAGCTGTTGAATTCAGCGCCCAAAAAGGAGCAGTGGAATTGTAAAACTACAGTATTCGGGTCCAGACCTTGCAGAGGTCCTCGAAGCAGAATTGTAATTATTCTGCACTGAGATTCCATCCTACATACATATAGTGAATGTAGTTTTAGAAGAGAGCGATGTCTGGAAAAGTCTACCCTTTGATTTCAAAGGCACATGCCGTCATAGTCGAATGGGCGGAAGCGTAGCAATACCATAGCACCTTCCCTAGCGGGTCGTCCCTCCCCTTACTGTGGTTTGGAGTGGAAGGGTGACTTAGCGAGGAAGTATGAGGTAGATCGAGAGATCATATCCCTTTGCATCCGAACACGTGCAGTGTGCCTATCTTAGTAGCAGCTTTAGAAGATATGGCTCATGTCGATGAACAATTGCTTCTTGATAGATCCGCGCAATGATGTATCTCTCCCAAGTTCAGATGACTGACGTCACACATCCCGAAGCGAATGTAACGACACGATCCATATATAATCGAGTACCTCCGAATGCCCCTGTGGAAGCCTATAGACCAATGGAGGTTATATTCGATCTCAGAGTGTTCAACATCAGAGCTCACTGTCTGACCTATGCGTCGTTGTCAGAGGAAAAGAGTTCGTTGATTTCCTTAATATTTTCTCAATAATCATGATTTCACTTTTTGCTTTTTTTCGTTTCAAGCTCGAACTGTAAGTTCGCATAGACCAGGCTCACAACCAGTATCATCTGTTCGGATCTTTTTTTGTGATTTCTTGAGAAATGCGTTGGTCTATTTCAAATAGCGACTAAGAATTTTTGTTGTCATCTGTTCATGTTTATACTGATTGCAAGAAGGAATCGTCCACTTCAGGTTTCTGCCCGGTTTTGTATACAGAAGAGATTGCTGTTGTGATAAAGAAGGGTTTCAAAGAAACCATAATACAGGTTCGTTGTATTCACGAGGAACTCCTCTAGAAAAGATAGTTATATTTTTTTCATTCGAACTCTGTGCATACGTATACTAAAGCGCTGAAAAGAAAGCAAGCGAATTTCCACGAATTGCTATAATGTGATTTTCATGTTATTTAATCAGTTTACTTTTATGATTATAACATTGATGTTCAAACCTGTGATATAATATACATATACTGAAACATTAAAATTCAACTTTATTTTTATCTTTTATTTATATATCTTTTAGTTATATCTTTATTGGTTTCAAGGAAGTAGTCTAGTTTCCGTTTCGCACGTGCCCTTAGACGGAAGCTAGACAATCACGGTATCCTCCCTCCGTGCTCATCAGTAAGGAAGGGTAGGAAAACGAGTTTAAATACGACAGAATCAAAAAATTAAATTTTTTGAAAAAACGTTTTAGGGAATACTTAAATGTTTTAGGAAATATTCGAGTTGAGTTTAAAGAAATTTTTTTACCTGGTAATGAGGGCTATCATATTTTCAATAAATTTTAGTGAACAAAGTGATATTACCACTCACAAACCGTACTTTTTCTTCTTATCCGTCGTCCTTCGAACAAAATATTGCTTTATATTATTTTTTTTATTTAATTTTAAAATTTAAAAGTTGACCTATTGTTACAAATTTTGAGATTTTTTTCAATTTTTTTTTCAGTATAGGTCGAATTTCTTCCTTCTTTAAGTGGTCCGTTGCGCACGCAATTTCTCAGGTACCTCCTTCCGCGGCGCCTTCGAATGGCGGGGCCATGTGGTCATATAAAGGCTGTGTTTGCGTTCCCATTTCGCGGTGCACTTTCGCGACGCGCATGACGCGCGCGCGATCGTAGAGCTGCGTTGTAGTTGCGCGGCTCCAGTTCTTCAACAGGGAATGCCAGCATATGAAAGGCAGACGAGTACCGCTGATGTTCCGGGAGTGCGTAGGATAATAGGAGAATACCAGTGTGCAATAGTGTTTTGAGTAGTAGAGGAGATTAGGACAATTAGCTCACAATCTGCCCTCATTCTCCTGTACTCTCCAATACACTAGCACACAATCTGGTACTCTCCTGCTCTCCTATGCTCTCCCAAAACACTGTTGCTGCACCGCCACCCCGTCCATCAAAGTGGAGCGCTATTGCGATAGTAGCGCATCATCGCCAAGTCTGAACGCAGCCAAAGCCGGAGAGATACCATCCTTAAAGTGCCTCACTCGAGATTATCCAGCGATCGTTACATGACTTTGAGGGACAAATTTACGCATTTCACATGCTTCCGTAAAACGATGCTTAACTTTCCTAGATGACCTGTCTTCCAACTCACCGTCCTCCGTCGTCTCTGGTCTCTCGCCTTCACAGCAATGCCTAACTTTTTCAAATATTCGTCCTATCTCGGGTGTTTTTGAATTTTTCATTTTTCCTCTTCATGACTCCAGTTAGCATTTGCGAACTCATACTAAGTCACCACAGCACGCAGTTTGTAAATCGGGAAGTCTTTTTTTTTGGCCGAACTGAACTACACTATGACGAAGACCGGCGGTATCTGCCTGTACTGTGCCCTTGGCCTTATCCATGCGCTATTTAGCATCTTTGAGTGACCGATGATTGGTCTATGTATAATTGTTCATGTTGGCTGTTTAAGGTTTGGCGTTGGTCGCTTGTGCCAGCGTATTTCGAACGTTGCGCCTCTACACAGAATGACGGGTACTTGACTCTGTCTGGATTGCAGTTCAGGTACTTACAAGTAATATTTCTGGCCTATGATATACCTTTTTTGGTCTGTAAATCCTGAACCAACTTTCAGAGGACATGCAATGTTCTCATCAGTTGATTGTCCATGGGATATGGCTGTCGTTGAGTACTGCTGGCTCACAGAAATTCTGATTGGTGAGGTCGGAGGGTGTTTTGGTAGTCCATCTCAGGTCAGCGTTGAGGCGTTTATTTTTTCCTGTACATTTTCGTCCCCATATATGACTTTCTTTTGTATATTTTGACAATTTTTGAAGTTCATACGATTGCCAAGTATGATTCAGATTATCACACTGGTTAACTTTCTCGACACATTGCTGTTGTTGGTTATTGCGAAGGATGACGCAAAAATTGTCCCAGACAGGTTCAAGTTTTGCCAGCATGGGCAAGTACAGTCTGCTCGGTAGGATCACAACCAGGTCGCCCATGCGAGTCAGAAGAAAGGTATGCAGTGCTTGTATCTGCTGCATATGAGCTGGACCTAAGTCTACAGGAGGATTGTAAAAGGTGGAATGTTTCAGGCTGAAGTATCGCCAGATGCGTATTGCTGTGGATGGTGTGCAGTTGGCTTTGACGGATGAAAATACTGCTATTACGGTGAGCCACAGCTCAAAGGCGAACTGGGCAGTCACTCTTCGCTGACGCAGATTCTTTCGAGTGAGATGGAACGCAGTCATGGTAGGGTGCCAGCTTTCTCCGCGACAATGTGGCGGGGGGGAAGCAGCGAATGTTGTATAAGCAGACTGTGGCCGGTACTACTGCCCCGTGCTGCGCGGTGAGCCATCGCCTTACCGTACGTCCGGAACGCGCTAGCTTTCTGCGCTCTGTCATTCTACTTGTTCTCTACCATCGCAGAAGTTGTTTTCGTATGGTAACGCCCTTGGTACCGTGCGAGGTGCTGACCTTGAGATTGGCAGGCGGAGTAATGAAGACGGCATCGTACCACTAACTGTACGCCCTTCGCCTGCTTGTTGTGAGCGGAGAAAGTGGCACACTACCGCAGGTACGAATTAATTCGCCTCGCACATGGCAAGGCAAGGACCCCCGTTGGGCGTACAGTTTGTCTTGCTTTCAGTCAGCGGCTGTATTGGCTGGGAAGCGGGGCTTTTTCTAGGCGTAAGTGGAAGGTATTATCCCTCAATCCGTGCTAGCCTGTTTAGGGGCTGGGATCAAACAAATTCTGAAGTTGTTACCACCGACGGCATTAAACTACTACCCCAAACGCGCTAAATGTCTTCAAGCCCATTCGCTTTACTTCTGATTAGGTTCGGCCCCCGTTTTATTCTCGAATGACAAAGTTTGCCTTCTAGAACACTCGACAAATCTGACAATAACTTGAACTGATGTTCAAAATGTTTTTTTAGGTAGCTGTGATCCTATACGATCAACTCTACTGGCATGCCCATGCGAAAAAGATTTAACTGAGGCATATTTGTGTTCGAATACCGCAAGTGAAAATTCTACAATGTACGATACATTTTGGAGAGTTCTTTGGTGAATTTTCATGCAAGAACCTTAACAGTATTTGTAGTGTTCCACCCAGCTGACAGTCCTACTTGGCTTGAATGCGCACGTGCGAGTATCTCTGGAGTTTCGCTTGATATTGAGGTAGGAACCCTGTTCAGCCTTGAGAAACTATTTTTCCAATTTTCATGACAAAAGCAAGTTAGGTACAAAAAAAACTGTCACTTTCAGTTAGTTTCGAAGTAGATATTGTCAGTGGGGTCGTATCGTATGTGATTCAGTATGGGACTAAATCAAGCAGCGTTCAGGCTCCGCGGACAGTCGTAGACGCGCTACCATTGCAAGCGCGCACAAATACTATAGACGGGAACACAGTCATGCACGGGTATGATAGGCGCTGGTCCGCTGTGCTGTGAGAAGTGGGTAGTCCAGGAGGGTATCCCTTGCCTCGGGCATGTCTTGGTACCTCCCTATGCTTCTCAACACTTTCGCAGAAGTAGCGATTGGCACCGACAATACCCGTCTACTGCCGTTGCGTCCACAGCACTGGAACGCTATAGTAATGGTAGCGCGTTACGCACATCATCGCTAAAAGAACCATTGAATGAAAATAATGGACCATGAAAAAAAATCGAGTAAGTGAGAAGGAGAGGGGATGATAAGCAAAGAGATAGCTCATCTTTCGTTCGACGTCGTCGCCCTTAAGACGGGAGCTGAGCAAAAGCATAGTCCTCCCTCTGTGCTCTTCCACTAAGGAAAGGGAGGAATATTGGGTTCCAGAGAGTTTTTATGAAACAGAGATGAAATGACAAATCGCTAAGTCCGATCGGTGCCTCAGCGAAATACCTCATTCCATTTATCATCGTCAATATTCTGCTTGTAGATCTCGGTCCCTAATTATATTCTTTTTCTTTCGTTTTGTATCCCACGCTGTTACACTTTCGCTAGTGCACTCCACTGCGAAGCTCTCGTAATTTTTTCAGCTTCCTACCCCGGTTAGCGTTCTTGGAGCAGCTTTGTTGACTTTGTACATTCGCACTATGCTCTTGCCCCC